TTTTTTTTTTTTTTTTAGTTTACTGTAGAGATGAGGTCTTGCCAAGTTGCCTAGGCTAGTCTTGAACCCCAGGACTCAGACAATCCTCTCACCTCTGCCTCCCAAAGTTCTGTGAGTACAGGCGTGAGCCACTGTGCCCAGCTTGTGAGGCAGTGTTTCTAAACTAGGGATGTGATTTTTGTCTCTCCCCCACCCCTCAGGACATGTGGCAATAGCTGACATTTTTTATTGTTCCAACTGGCAAGGAAGAATGTGGCTTGTGTTGAGAAGACAGGAGTGCCGCTAAATGTGCTCCAAGGTCAAGGCACTACAGGACTAGTCAGCCCAAAGTAAATGAATCTTGAGGCTGAGAAATCATGAAACTGTGATGTCAGTCAAGACCTTGGGAGAAAGTGGGGCGCAGTAGTTCACGTTTGTAATCCCAGCCCTTTGGGAGGCAGAGGCGAGAGGATTGCCTGAGCCCATGGGTTTGGGACCAGCCTGGGCAACTTGGCGAGACCTCGTCACTACAGTAAATAAAAGGCCGGGCACGGTGGCTCAAACCTGTAATCCCAGCACTTTGGGAGGCCAAGACGAGAGGATTGCCTGAGCTCTGGGTTCGACACCAGCCTGGGTAACCTGGTGAGACTTCATCTCTACAATAATTCAACAATAACAACAACAACAAAAAAACAGCTGAGCATGGTGGGGCACACCTGTAGTCCCCGCTACGTGGAAGACTGAAGTGGAAGGACCTCCTGAGCCCAGCAAGTTGAGGCTGCAGTGGCTGTGAGCATGCCACAGCTCTCCAGTCAGGGCAACAGAGTAAGATTGCGACTCAAAAAAAAAAAGACCAGCCAGGCTCGGTGGCTCAGCCTGTAATCCCGCGCCTTTGGGAGGCTGAGGTGAGTGGATTACCTGAGCTTGTGGGTTCGAGACCCGCCTGGGCAGGCAAGACCTCATCGCTACAATAAATCAAAAACAATTAGCTGGGTGTGGTAGTGCATGACTGTAGTTCCAGCTACTTGGAAGGCTGAGG